CTACTACTTCTACTTCTGCTGCTACTGCTGCTGCTGCTGCTGCTGCTACTGCTACTGCTACTGCTACTACTACGGCTGACCAGGGAATGCATAGCTGCAAGCACTGCTTCACATCTGTATCAACTTCGACCTGAATATGATCACCATGAACACGCAGAAATTATGCTTGAAAAGGTAGTCAGGCTTCTCCTCAAGCTTCCTGCAACGAATTATGGCATGTGTCCTCATGTTGGTTACTGGGGCTTTCGGATTAATGACAAAGCTCGGATTCATTGGCCTTGCTATCGAAAGATGTTTATCTGGCAGGCACCGTGCGACTCAATGTCAAAGGGAGGAGCCCCGTTTAACGCGTGCTGTTAGTTACGGAACAACCTACAGGACAAAGCAGCAGCCTGCAGCAGCAGCACATGCTGATTGGAATGCGCTGTGCTGCCAGATCGGGGCAGGGTGGCTTCCCATAAAGCGGTGGATCTCCGGGCAAGACATGCCAGCAGGACCCCGAGTGGACAGGCCAGCAACAGAATACCTGTTACCGCAGCTTGACCCAACCGCTGTCGGCATTCATATAAGAACAATGCCAGTGATTCACAACCAGATCGGTTCCGGCTCCGTGCGTCACGGCCATGGCTGAACTGCATGCAGCAATTGGCCGAGGGGCTGAGCGGATGATTGAAAATAGTTTTCAATCCCGCGAGGTTGTCAGTTCCTGGCAGAGCCAACATTGCGACTGTTCATATATTGCTCAAAAGCAGTTGCTGAGGCAACACACCCCTCGTCGACAGATTCAAACCAAACGACTTGCAACCGGTGGCTGGCCCCCATAGAGCTGGGACGACGAATGCCCTTCTTGAGGGCCCTGCCTACGATGTACATCACGCTATACGTCCTGGCAAGGGCATCCACTGGCTGTGTTAAAGGAAGGTTAGGTGTCTTCTGCCATGGCATGGTGGATCGCGGTAGCCTAGCTGCGACAAAAGGCTGAAGCCCATACTGGGGCTGACTCATGCTTCCTGCAACATGGCCCTGATGGCACCACCACCGCGTGTCACGACATATATTGCCAGAGATGCTTCCAGGCTCAAGGAAAAACATGAGTGCAGCACGCTCTGACTTAGTGCTAACTAGAAGGCATACTATTACATGGCGTAATTACTACAGTATAAAAGCAGGCCATACAAGGGATGTTGGGCTCAAGGTTTAAGATGGCTCGAGCAGCCGTCAGGGCTTGGAGGTTTGTAGGCTTTTGTAGGGGACTGTCAAGTGTCGAAACTTTCCGAAGACCGGAGACTCCCTCGCAGCTACGTCGAAACCACAGGCGACACCCTTGTCAAGGAATTTGATCATAGGCTTGCGCAGCACTGACATAAAACAAGATGCCCAGGTGTCTTTGGCGCACGAGCCGGCTGCGGCTCGGACTCCACACCGGCGACGGCTAGACTCCTCGCATCACAACACTTAGTCTGCGGCAGCCGCAAGCAGGAGTGCTGCAGCCAATGACGTTTAGAGTCTATGGGTTTCGGAGGATACGTGGTGGCTGGTCCGAGGTCCCCGCTCTGGAACGGACGTCGGCCGCTTGAACTCCAGGTTGTGCAGTCGATGTCGCATCTTCATTGCCATGGCCTCTTGCCCGCTCCATGGTGTCGGGCCCCACTCCGTAGTGCAAAGTGCTTCAACGGCGTAAAGTAGCCGGCTTCGAAACTCCGCATGTCGTGTCATGTCTCTTGAACACCTGCTTTTGCCGTGCGATGGTGTGCAGAAGAAAGGTAAGCCCCGGTGCCTTGAGCTTGATGGGGTTGATGAGCGCCGGCTTCCCCGACAAATCTTCGAAGGCTAGGGCCTGCTAGCGCCACGGATGGACATGATGTGGGACCTTTCGCAGCAGCCAACACTTCACGGAACCAGTCAGCTGAAAGCCACAAGTCGAAGCACCCATTCTGCAGTTTTCCTTACTGTCGGTGCAGCAGAGTTGTTGAGCAATAGCTACTGTACCTCAGGTTTCGCATGGCATGAGGGTCCCCCGCATGCAAAGTTTGCCGCGATGCGCATGAAGCCGCTAGACCAAGCATAGGCTTGTTGTCCCTGGCAGACTTGCTACGTTTGCAAGTGTAGGGCTGTTGTGACATCTTCAACTCTGACCCCTATATGGGGAATGAACTTCATGCATTTAGAATATGTAGCTTAATCATGGCCCAACAGGCGCCCAACATCTATTCGCCTCGGCGCCGGCCGAAGCAGTCAGAGGCTCCCACGAACCCCCCTGTTGCCTACCCCATACTTGGTCCCCTCCCCAAGGACCCCCCCCCCTTGCAACTTTTGTCCGCAAGCGACTGTAGGAAATCCGATGCAATCTATTTTCCTTACCGCGTGGCACTCCACATCACCACGCTCCCGCTGCCAAGACTGCTCTTCATCTGCCGACGGACGACGCAAAGCCAAAAATCTTCGTGTGCAGACCTGAAAGGATAAACATGGATAAACAACAACAACCAGTCCCGCTCCCAGCAATTACGCAACAGAACTGCCGCATTTTCGGCACATACAGGTTCCACGGCCAGAACTCTGTAATGCCAAGTTCCAAGCATCCCATTCACGCTCCCGTGGCTCTGCTCTGCCCCTGGCGAGACAGTTTCGAGGTCAGGACTGTGCAATCGTCTGTCGCATGTTTGAGCCGAACTTCCCTTGAACCACATGCAGTACAAGACCCGGCTTTTCTCGCAAACTTGGCGAGTTGTGGCCATCCCCGAACCGATGATCATCCCCAGCAAGATCCAGCAAGACTACTCTGACCAGTCTTCTTCACTTTGCAGGAGGCATGGCAAGCTGCGACCCGCTCCCATTCAAGCAAGCACACCGCGCTGCCTCGAAGACCTTGGGAATCAGACTTTGCAGTGTTAGTGTTGCGATTAAGGACCGCGCGTTTCGCTCGCAGAGAGAAGTTCATGCCACAACAACCAGGCCAAAGAGCTTTGACTGTTGCATGTTGGTGGGTGTAGCTATGAACCTGCTTGTGGGAAATGGCGTCACTGTCCTGCTTCTGCCAGATTCAGCGCAGTCACTGCAAGCAGCATGCTTGCACTAATAAGTAGAAACCGCTTATACATATATATATATATATATACATACATACGTGTGTGTGTGTGTATGTATGTATGTGTCTCTGCATATATAACTACGTAGGAATGTGCGTCTCTGTGTAGATATACACATCTTTAAGAAACTGAACAAGCAAGATCAAGCAAACACGGGTTAGACATGTAGATATACTACAGATATACAGAAAGATGAGAGATGTATGTGTATGCACATATGCGGCTTTCCATATATATATATATATACATACATATGTGCAGACAGAGAGTCAGCGAGATAGATCGACAGATAGAGGCAGATACATGGTAGAGTTTGGATTTCAGTCGTTAGACTTTGACTTTCAGATTTGGAACTTGCGACCTTGTCGGGTTGGAGGCGGGTGGCGTGGGGATTACGCCCGTGACGTCGCGATGAGTGCAGCTTTGCCCATAGCTAGATAGATGAGATTTTATAGGTAAACTTTTAGGTTAGATTACATTAGATAGGATAGACAGATCAGATAAACTAGATGGGCAGACAAATAGATACGTAGATAGAGCATGTATGTAGGCAGGAATCCATGCCTGCGTATCTGCATAGAATCATGCATGCATACAGGCAGTTATACAGCTATACACATGGAGAGAATCGCCATAGAAGTGTTCAAGGGTTCCGACGTGGGGTGCTGGATCCCGAAATATTTCGAAAGGGCTAAATTGACATCCCAAGCTTTACTCGGCCCATCGCGCTGGGCTGTTTCTGACCACCAGCGGTGCATGGAGGGTCATCTCACCTGTGCTGGAGGAGCAGTTGCGGCAGCTGTCTACAATATTGAGACCGGGCATCTGCGTGTCGTGGGTGCTCATAATTATCGTATGTCATCCTATGTTCGTTTCATGGAGATTTATAGTTGGCCAAATCGCAGTGGCCCCTCCATCAGGCAAACTCAGCAGAAAATGCGCAATGCTCCCTCCCTGCAGGCTTCTCTGGCCAACCGTCATGCCACTACTGCCTACGACCACGAAACAAGCTTCAGTCTTCCGGCCACATGCGTAATCGCAGGCCTGCCGTCGCCATGAGGCGTTGGCAAAAGCTGCCCTCTTGAGCTTTACAGCTCATGGAATGAACAGGCCCAGCAGCAAGTGGAGTTGGGGTGTTCGAGTCCGACATGAGATGCAGGCAGCATCCCCTACGAAAGAACAAACCATGTGGAACTTCACAGCAGACAGACAGACAGACAAGCAGGCCAAGAAGGTACAGAAGTGCAAACAAAGGAGCTGCGAGTGCCTGCCTGCGTGTGTGTCGGTGGGCTCTCCAAGTCCGGAGCTGCAGGCACTGTTTACATGCGCTCTTCGCAATCGATTCCCTTCTGGGCACAACCGCTCCCAAGCGGAGAAGTTGACATTAGCAGCCATGGAGGCGATCTGCCGATGCAGTGCCTCTTGCACAGCAGTGCAAACTAGCCAAAAGTGGACAGCTGCAAGACTAGTCTCCCAACCTCTTGGACACAGTCACAGTCATAATCAGTCACATAGTTACCAACTAAGTTAACAAAGCTCAAGGCACTGCAAGAAGGATGAGGCAGGAAACGGGCAAATTCACTTCGAGCTTCGCCGGTGCTGGGCCTGCAGGGGCTGTTTTGAGCCGCGAATGCCGTGTTCCAATGCTGCCACCATACTTTCTGTCTTGTTCCAAACGGAGTCCTGTAGACTCGACACAACTATTTATGTTGTAATCTGACGGATGCCTACAGCCGCCACCCCAATCCCCCCCATCCACACACACACACACCAGCACACGGACAGACTGACGGCGAAGGCTTCATAGTACCCGCGTGGGCAGTGCCTATAGAGGCCGCAGGGAAGGGAAGTCACTTGACAAGTAAGCTTCTTCCGTGAGATTAGGTACCGCTTTCTGATGAAGTTACAGTCGGACTATGTCTACTTACGCCACCTTTCATACCAGGACCTGACGAACTTCATGATACGAGTCCCCAAGCCCTGAATTCTACGACGTTGTCTAGGGAGCCTTTGCACAGACTCCCAAACTGCAAGCCCTCCACCGCCTTGGCGCGTGGGTGCCAGAACCCGGGAACCTGGCGACCTCGCCAGACCCCCGGTGGGCAACTCCTCGGGGTCGAAAGTAGTCACTTAGTATAGTATAGTGTAGTATAATATAGAGTATAGACTCTCCTTCTCAGGCCCAAGTGCACTTGGTTATCTGAATGCTTCGTGTGCTCATGCACTGGCGGAAAGCTATGTATGCCTGCGAAAAGAAACGTGGCAGGAAGTTCGCTCTACACATCTCTACACTATACTGAAATATAAAATGCGACAAACTGTCAACTTCTCCTGCTTTCTGTAGGCATTCAAGACTACAAAGAGGCAAGAAGCAATGGAGGAAGTGGAGTCGTAGTCGTACTCGAAGTAGTAGCAGCAGTATCGGTAGCAGTAGCTGTAGCATCAGTCCATCGGTGCCAGCAATGCCTTCCTGCGCACTTTCCCTGAGCATCTTGCGGCGGTCGCAGCATGCGAACTTGCCGGTGCCACTTCACTTCCACTTCGCACCCGACCTTGGCAGGAACTCTTACATCAGGGTTGGTGCAGGCTTCCTGTTTGCACACTTCTGGTCGAGCGGGACAGGAAGCGGCATCCTGCCACAGGAAAGCGTTGCATTGCAGGGAAAGCTAGCTCTCTGTCAGCCTGTGCCACCTCCAAGTTTTTCCCCCAGTGCAACGCCAGAATGGCCACTGAGAGCTGGACTGGGAGCATCCAGGATTCTCCATCCTCGGTGTAGGATCTTGCAGGTTTGGATACTCCCAGGTCCCATAGCATGCCCTGGCAGCATTCAAGATGAAGCTCTACAGCAACTGAACACTGTCTGCAAAGTTGGACGAATGACTTGCCACGAGCTCGGATCCGCCCCTGCAACAAAGCCAGCCCGACGCACAGGAGACTTTTCCGAAACTAGTTCGGCAAGCATCAAAGACCCGATTGCTCAGGGCTCTTATCCGTGCCTAAGTTCGCGTGCAAGTGCCGGCCATAGCCGGTGACTATCCAAGCAGTGCTGCAGGTTGGCTTGTTTGGTCTATGCTACTGACGTGGAGTTTCAAATAAGTTTTTCCTTCAACTGCAGCAACCCTTATGTACACCCCACTTGATGTGATCCTATTCGCATTCTATCTTCCCTGGACATGTCGCGATACAATTGTTACCAGTAGACGCAACTTACTAGGTCAGCCCGAGGAAACGCCGGCTTGACACGAGCTTTTTTGGTCACGGTCGGCTGCTTCACTGGTGTCCCCGTAAGCTTCCTTCCTCTGATGCATAGTAGAACCAGTCACCGAGAGTCTGCCGAATCAGTTGAAGACTTGAATCTTGGAGCCGCCTGGCAGTAGCCACGTGGTCGACGTGTCGTCCGCGTCGATGGGGATGGGCGGTAAGTCTTCTTTCTTCTCCGGCTTGAACGTTTCCATGATCCTTTGTGCTTGGTTCCAAGGGAAGGCTCTGCGATTTTGAAAGACGTCCGATGGCAGCAGAGTCTTGCTGGACACAGGCGGTTTTGGGTCCGACATCATCACCAGGCCGTGAGAGAGGAGGAAGCTGTCTGTTTATGTACCGCAAAATTTCAAAAGCTGTCTCGGCCTGAACTGCAGGTGAAACTACAGAATGCAAGCTGTGTTGTCTATCAACTCGATCCTGCGTGCAAAGTCTAGCTTGAGCCCGGTATTTACAGGCAAGAAGATGGCCGCCCCGCGCAGAATACAGCAGCGAAACAGACAGATTTCTTCAAACTATCACAGCGGGTGGAGTGGAGAACCCAGTTCTGGATGGAGGCACTGCTGGGTGCAACCCTGCAGGCCAAATCCAGATGCAGTAAGGAGCCGCTCCAGCCTGCCACCTGTCCCTCCAAGCTATCTGCAATGTGGAATGTGAGACTTATGTTGCAAGAAAAGAGAGAATGTAACTGGAGAGCCTGCAGCAGAAGATTCACTGCAGTGCACGGCTAAGTTTTTCGGCTAATCAGCTGCCCAGGCTTAGGCCCCCACCATCTGCATCGCCTCTGCACCTTCTGTTTTTGACCGGGTCAACCTATTCAAGCTTAAAGAATTGGTTGGGAGTTGACGAGATCTCTGGGCAAGAGATCTTGTCTTTCGGCGCAGCAACCAGTCATGCACCCAACGAGGCTTTCTCTGAGCAGCGCAATGTGCGACCTGCAAAGTGCCAGCATGGCTCAATATCCTAAATCCTAAACCCCAAACCCTAAATCCTTCATCTGCCGGACCCCAACCCATAGACAGGACTCTTTGAGACGTGCGTGCTTAGCTCAGATTCCAGCGTTCCAACACCATCTTCAAGCCTGCCGGCCTCGCGAGCACCTGCTTTCGAAAGCCACACAGTCGCACAGCCCGTTCACATCATGGAAGCTCTGACTGCATTTTTCTTGTTCCAGGGCAAGAGGCCTCTTCTCTCTCTCTCTCTTGCCTGCCTGCTTGCTACCAGTAGGGGTCTGGGGACGAGGTCCCGCTGCCCGGAGGCCTACGCATTCGAGGCCTACCCATTTTCTCTCTCTTGCTTGCTTGCTTGCTGGGGGTTTGGGGGCCTAGCCCCTCTCTCTCTCTCTCTCTCTCAAAAAAGAGCTTATATTATGAGGACTCATACTCACACCATCATTGGAAGAAGAAACGCGGGACCGAAAACGTCACGGCTCAGGACTTTGCAATCTAGAAGATAACCGGCAAGCTTCGTAACCCCAAATCAGCCAAATCACACACATTTTTCGCCTGAGTGATGAATCAATTGCAACCGGCACGTGGCGCGCTCGTCTGTACTACTGTCCGCGTCTGCCACGCTGGGCTCTGCCATGGCCGAAGTTCTCCCGAGCAGTGGAAGATTGTAGTGCGTAAGCGGCCTTGCGCCTCCTCTCCTGCACCAGCAAGTTTGCCTCTTGACGTCGGCGCTGCTGCAAAACCTCCTGGGAAAGTTCTATCGTACTGGCCTGAGAGATTTGCTTCACCACCAAATCTCCTGGATTCGTGTCCCCGAAGAATAGCTGCGAAGCTTCATCGAAATGCAGACACATACCAGTTCCAACAGTCTGGAGGCGTACGGCCGCAGCACTGGATCCCTTGCTAGCGAAGAAACGTGCAGCTGGGCCTGCGAGCAAAAAACGAAACTCTCTGACTTGGATGCCCTGTTCACGCAAAGCTTTGCAACACACGGGCCAGCACTGCAAACTGAGACTATGCTGCGCCCTTCGCAGGACAATCGGTAGCACCCTTTGCTTGCCGGCAGATTCTGACCATGACTCTTACAGCTTACCGTGACTAGTTTATTTGTTGACGAGGACGAAGACAAGGACGTCCGACGGCGACGGACAATGTCCGGCGACGACGACGACGGACGCGCCAAGCTGGAGGCCCACCGGCGACGACGACGATCGGGTGGCTGAGCACCATGTCGACGACGGCAGGTGAGGATAGAGGTGAGGCGGCGCCGTGAGGATTGGAATGAGGAGCATCGACGGCGACGACGACGACGATGGCGTGCGGCGGCGACGCGGCGAGGCTTCGCGCGGCAACGACGGCGACGCTCGGACGACGAAGGCCGGGCGAGAAGCGGGCCAAAAGAGGCCACAGGCGGGCGAGCAGAGGCGAGCAGGGAGGTTCTTGCCGGCGAGGGGCGGCGACGATGCGGGACCCGGGACGGCAGGGCATCATTCCAGTCCCCACTCGGGTCCTCATTCGTCCTCACTCGGGTCCTCATTCCGGTCCTCACTCGGCTCCTTTTGCAATCTTGGTCTGGCCGACTAGTTTACCTGTTAAACCGAAGGAGGGAGCAAGATTGCCAGCAATCTTGCAATCTTGGTCTCCCAAAGGTAAATTCGTCGGCGAGCAAGTGGGGCAAGTGGGGAAGACGACCAAAATGACCAAGATTGCCAAACAAAACGTTGCTCGCTGCTACTTCTCCTCCTCGTCCTGCTGCTGCTGCTGCTTCTGCCTCGTCGTCGTCCTCGTCGTCGTGGTGGTAGTGGTGGTGGTGGTGGCGGTGGTGACAGTGGTAGTAGTGGTGACCCGGTAGTAGTAGTAGTAGTAGTGGAGACCCGGTAGTAGTAGTAGTAGTAGTAGTAGTAGTAGTCGTAGTGGTAGTGGTGGTAG